TCATATCAACCTCCGTGCAGATGCTGCCTCCTGAATGCCCCTCCTGAATGTCAATGCCCTCCCCAGTGTCTGTTCAAAGAAGACTCCAAACTCTATGTCTCCCATAAACCCCACGGTCCAAACAAAATCAATGGTCAAGACAACACAATGCATTTTATTTCTCTGATCCCCAGATGGTCTTTCCTTTTTTACAGCCTTCATCCAGACTCGGGTAGTTCTCCCCCGTCCCTGCCCGACTAGCCCTCCAGGGAGGAGTGGATGTACCCGGAGAGGAACGCCTCCATCACCAAGCCACCATCACTTACAAGTGCTCTTTAAAAGGTATCCTTGCTCACCTAATCACATCCTCCAAGACCCAAGGTACTGTCTGAAGGGTAGAGACCAATTCTTCACTGGTGAGGCAGACCAATCCACTGTGAGATTTACACTGAAAAGCCCTGACTCTTCTCCGCAGGCCCCAGGGCTGGACAATCCACCGCTCTGGGTCTGAAAGCTCTGGCAGTGAGCAATGGAGCAGACTCCAGGACTAAAGCAATCAAGGGCTTTTTCCTCATCAGCCCTTGAGTGGGGCAGCGCATTCACAGAAGTGCTTTGGATTCCCAAGTCTCTTTTCCTGCTCTGGCAAAATCTCAAGTGCGCCAGGCCTCGCTTATGGATGGGGAGGGAGCTGATCCAGTGGCCTGCGATCAGAATGCGCTCTGCATACTCAGCTCCCCAGATGAAACTGCTCTGACAGGAGCTCCCTCACCCGTAGCCCTTCCCACAGCCGCCTTATAAATAAATACCTGCAACAGACATCTGCAACATGTACAACTTTTCTTCCCATAAAAGAATCAAGAATATATTCCTCCAATGTCCAATCAAGATGATGACTTTGTAGACACGCTGCAGTGGCTTGCTTTCTTTTTTCAAACCCCCATCTCCTCTACGGCTCTGATGCAGTCGTCTGTTTAGAGTTTTGAATGTGCTTTGTCCCTATGCCATGTACCACAGAGTATATGCTGACATTTGGGTCACCCAGGATTTTTCTTCTATAGAAGTCCCCATGGTGACTAATACCCACTGCAGAACCGACCACTTCACCTGCAGCTGTCACTGCTGAAATGACAGATGCATCCCTCAGACTGTAGTGCCCATCCTGTCCCCACCCTTTCGTTGAAAACAGCATTCCTGAGACACTGTTGTGGCCTGGATCCATCCTGCGGCAGCTGACACTTTCCCACACATCCCCCCCATACCCAAGGCTGGCGGCTGACCTACCTCCTAGGGCGTGTAGACTGCAGTGATCCCCCACCCCCAACCCATTAGCAGCTGCTTGAATTGAATCAGCTGGTGGGATCCAGGCAGTAAGAGGCCCAGGAGCCAGCCCACCAAGTATGGGGACCTTGGTTTCCCACCAGCCTGTACCCCAGGGCTCTGATTCTTCATGAATTTCATTCCCCTCCCCCCAAAGCTCATGGGAACTTGGGCCATTTACTGCCATCATGAGTCTGTCTTGGTCTGAATGCTGTTCTGAGCTGATCACCATGAAATGGAAGGACATTTCCCAAATCACAGCCTAGGGCAGGGAGCCCTCGTTCCCTACCCTCCCTCAATTTCTCTAACCATAGAAATGCTACGACTAAGAATAAGACGCCACCACAGAAATGGCCTAACTGAAAGTGGAAAGCATAGCTAACACTTCGGGACAAGCCTGGAACTATCCGCCTTGAGCTCTATCCTTATTCCAGGCACTGAATGGGCAGGTGGAAGAAAAGCCGGGTGGACCCTTGCAGGAAAAAAAAAGAAAGTGTGTGTTTCCTCTCGTTTCCAGTTCTAGCAGTGAGTGTCGGGACCGGAGACATAGCTGCGCGCTCACATCAGGGGAGTGAACCCAGGGAAAAGGCATCTCCCTTTGAGCGGCACCAAAGGTATCTCAGAGGAGGTGCCCTCATCCTGGCGTCTCTACTGTCTTGACTGTTTGACAATCACTGTGTCAATTTCCAACGCGTCATTCCGCATTTGTGAAGGAGGGGCCATTTCAGGAGGCTATGCTTGGAGTAAGTGACTACTTCCCTTGCTGTCAGCTAAGACTTTTTTACCAAGAAGATCCGGGCACCCAAGCATGTCCCAACCAGGCAGAAGGCAAGCCCCCCAGAGAAGCCCTGGAGCCCCAGGAGGGAGCCCTCCCTCTAAGGTCACACTTGGGGTCTGCTTTTGCCATGTCTGACCAATACAGCATCTTCTCAGGAAGGAAGGGTGTGTATCAGAAGGAGAGATTTAGGGGAGCGGGGCTGGGATTACGTCCATGAACACACGTCAGCTTAAGGATCAGCAGGATCAGACCAGGATGAGAAGGCTTGACAGCGGCGTGCTCTCCCAATTTCAACAAAAGTAAGCTCGAAACTACCTGATAAAAATTCAAAACGTCCCTTCCGCTTCAAAAATCTACGCTCAACACAAAGGCCTGCCTTGGAAGGGGAGAGCGCTTCTCCGCTCACAATAACAGATGAATAATAAATGTTCCTGGTCAGGAGGAAAAGAGATGAACAATATCTCCCAAGTTTTGATCACTGGAAACTTCATCCATGACTAACACTAACTCCATTTTGCAATTCAAAACTTCTCTTGTCTATTAGAATTAGCTACTTCCAGTGGTGGGTGAGGTTATGTTAGGACTTTGGAAAGGACATTGACTATTTCAAACTATTGAAAGATATACATCATGATTACAGAGTAGCAGAGTGAGGAGTCCAGTAGGTAGGAAAACAACTTGTCAATTACATTCTTTAAAGGTATCATAGGGATAAGCCTATATTAACTTCTGATGGAAAACACCTCAGCTCTATCTAATTCCAGCCTAATGAGTCCAGCATAATTGTCTTCTTAAAATGCTTTCCAAAGTATTAGCCTGATTTTTAAAAATCTTGCTAATTTATTATGAATATACCCACAAATGAATGTCATAATTATTGACTTAATTTTCTTCTCCAAAACAAAGATGATCTAGCCTCTAAAACAAAAGGTTACCTTGAACTACAGTTAATGTTGCAATTAGCTAAAAGTTTTATTTACCTAGAAGAGATAGTTTGTCAGGGAAAACGTGACACCAAAAGTGACCAGAACACCTTTCCTGTGGCTGAATACAAAAGGCTTATTGAGATCTTGAACAAGAAATCTATTCCAAGGAAAAAATAAAATTAGTGGTAATTGTTCTTCTGGCTAACACAGGAAACTAGCAACAGTATTTCAAACAACCACTTCTTTTTCCTGTCTTTTTTTTTAATGATGTAGCAGAGCAAATTGCTCGACTAATGAATGGACTCGGTAAATAAACTTACCCATTACTTTCAAATGATTGCTCTGAAATAAGGAATTTCTCCATGCCTGCAATTGTTCTTCAGAAACAAGGCAAATATCTTGCTTGCATCAGACCCCACAATCTAAATGTTTATTGTTAAAGTAAATGTTTCAGGAGTGGAACACAGGTGCAGGCTAAATCGTTGTGTATCACTGGTGGCCACTCATTTTCATCCAACCACAAAATTTAAAAGAAGCAGGTAAATAAGTTGTCGCAATCGACTTTTCTTTTTGATCATTTTTCACTCATGGTTAGGTCAAGAACAGAGAGCTTATTTACACTATGAGAAATGCAAGTGAGTGTCTGCAATCACTATTTTCATTCGTGTGCTCAAGTAACACACTGAGGGGGTCAGTATTAAGCACACAAATAACCACAAACTTTCTGAAATCCCCACAATGGTTTGACTCTTGGGGAAGCTTGAGGTAGAAAACAAAATACCAGCTAGCATTAATCACCTCTTGTGGCCTTTTAAAAGATACTTAGAGTTAAATCATCACACTCCCTTTGTAGTCCAAAGATAAATGAGTTACTGTAATAATCCTGCAAATACCCTGCCTTATGATTAAGATCCCCTTAATGGTGACTTTGTATTTTGTATTCTCTGAAGGTTTAAAGGTTAAAGGCATCATAAATTATGCATTTCTTCCTATGCCAGGCCCATAAAAGGTACTTTCACTGTTCACTAAAGATATTGCTTCTAAATGAGCAGGGTTTTTTTTTCCCTAAGTGTTGGAACAGAAACATTTCCATTATGTTTATTACTGCGATGCTGCAGAGCCAAAACAATTTGGAATTAGGAAGCCGCTAGAATCTGTTGTTCCAGAATGTGTAGCAACTGTCAACACACACAGTAAAATGACAGTATACTCTTTGGACAGTCGTACCGGCCAACATGCTGGTCTCCTCCCAAGAGAACAATAGTCTGGCAAACCCCTCACATCAGCAGCAACAGTTGGAGCTTTCCCCTTCTGCCCCTGCCCAAGTTACAGATCTGAACAGGGACCGGAGAAACACATGATTCACACGAGATCATCCCTTACTCCTGCACTGGAGCTGGCTCTTTGTGGGGGACGCTTGGGTAAACTGCGCTTTCGCACGTACCTCCTCCCTAGCGGCACCCTAACTTCTTGTCTTATGCTTTGCCACCACCTCCAGCTAAAGCACAGTTCTAAGGGTTTCTTCCTCACCCCACTCCCTCCCGCTTCACACTTACAGGTACTGCATCTGCAGAAGGCTGGGCTCTTTTTTCCAAAGGAGCACCACACCCATTAACCCTCTAGCCTTCAGAAGCAAATTGAAGTTCGGCTGGATGTACCTTTCCCCGACCTCAGGCCAAAGGAACCAAACCTCGGTACACAGGACCCAACTTCTGTCAGGCCACGACCACCCCCAGCTCAGCACTTCGCTTGCGGGGGGAGGATTCCGGAGACACACTGCTTGCGGTAAGGACCAGAGCTCCAAAGAGTCTTTCCAGGCTTAGCCCGCACACCCTGACAACTAAGTGGCAAAGTTGTTTCTTCTCCTCTGCTGCAATGCCCTTTCCCCTTCAGCAGCGCGCGCGCACGCACACAGTCACACACACACACACACACACACACACACACACACACAGGTACACACACGCACGCACGCACACAGCCCTGCTCCTCCAACTTACCAGTTTAGATTTGGCGCGTTGCAAAAATTCTTCCATGTCGTTGAGAGAGGTTTGGACTAGGGGTACCCGGCGGGGCACAGAGGAAGATCTCTGCCCCGCGGAGAGAAGCGGGGTCTCGGGGAACTGGCTGGCCGGAGCGCAGCGACCGCGGCTCCCTCCTGCCGCTCGGAGGCGGCTGAGGCTGTGGCTGCGCCCTCGGCTGTCGCTTTCCTGGGCTCCCTGCCCCACCCCCGCGCCCGGCCGCCCGCTCTGGGCGTCGACTCTGCCCTAATAAGGAAAGTGGGTGTGCCGCCCGGGAGCCCCGGGACGCGCCCCGCGCGCTCACTGGCACGCGCCTGCGGGGCCGCGGCTGGGGGCCGGGGTTCGGGGCCCGGCGCGAAGGCGGGGGTGTTGGGGGATGGCGAGGGGCTCCTCCGCCAATCGCAGGGCCCCGCTGAGGCCTCCTGACGTGGCGCGCCGAAAGATGCTGCAACCATGGACAGCGCCCAGAAGTGCGAGCCAAGTGCAAGGGGCTGCTGCATAGGGAGGCTCTGCCGCAGGCACCGCCGCCGTCAGCCAGGGGAGGTGGTAAGAGGGAGAGGGGGAAAAGAGGTCCCCGGAGAGCCCCCCTCCTCGGTCAGCGCCTCCCTGGCTGGCTGGCACGTTACAGAGAGCTCCAGCGGCCACTTAATGAGCTGGCTCTGCGGGCCTGGCCGGGGGATGCACTCAGCTAGATTGGAGCGGGGGGGGGCGGGGGGGAGGGTTATAGCTGAGCTAAAAGCAGTACGACCTTGATGGAAAATAATCAGGAGAGCAGGCTGGGAGGCTGTGCTAGGATGCATCTTTCCTTTTTACCCTCAAGACATACCCACCCAGCCACGGGCATCCGCAGTTCACCCCTGTGAGGTGCCCTTATGTTGGTTCTGGGCCAAAGCTTAGATACTTCCTTCTGCAGTCCCCATCCACTCTCCGACGACGTGCAGGCTCCGGGGTAGGTGGGGCCAGAGAACCTATCTGCAGCATAGGGGTCTGTGTCCTACAAGATCCTCGGATAATTTCTACGCACATTAAAGTTTTAAAGCTACTGCAACGAGCGCTTAAAAGTATGGACCTTGTTTTAAGCCATGAAGTTTTGTCGTGTGTATTCTCTAGCCTTATCAAGTCCTGGGAAGCTCGGGCTTTCTCTTCCATCTGGGCTGTAATAGCCTTCCTGCCCTCTCACCAGCCCCCACTGCCCGGCTAACTCATGCCTCAGCTGTCAGCTTAGAGAAGTGGTCTCAACCTTGACCGCACGTTGAGATCACATTATAACATCCAGAGCTTTAAAACTACTGATTCCTACGCTCTATTCCCAGCCCAACTGAGCCAGTGTCTCTGCAGAGGAGTCCTGGCAACAGTGGTTGAACTGCTCCAAGTGATGCTAGTGTGCAGCCCAGGTATGACCGCTGGCTTTCAAACTTCAGTGTGTATCGGAACCTCTCAGAGATGTATTAAAACACAGATTTTGTGTCTGATCCCCAGGACTTCAGCCTTAATAGGTCTGGCTTCAAAGGCCTGAGAATTTCCATTTTTAAAGGTCTGCTGATACTACTTAGAAATTATCTTCCCCCAGGAAGCTCCTCCCCCGGACATATCCATCTTTCCCACTCCTACAGAGTCAGTTGCCTGTTCTATAGCAACTTGTATTTTCTGCTCTGCTGTAACTTACCCAAGTACTTGTCTGTGTTCTCCACCAGGCTGTGAGCTCCCTGAGAACAAGGACTTTGCCTGTCACATTCATTGATGAATCCCTAACAGGTTATGTCGTATAGAAATCGCCAATAAAGTACACTTTAATGAATAAATGTACATATTGGAGGTTCTTTGTGCTCTGTGTGTGTGTGTGTGTGTGTGTGTGTGTGTGATTATCCAATTATTTTTTTATTCAGAAGAACCCAATGAAAAAACATCAGCAGAACCTTTAGATCTGATTAGAGGAGAGTGATAGGAATATTAAGCTCCAGTTTACATTCAGGTGATGAGCTGTGAGGAAGCTGCAGATTCTATCTGCTTCCTTGCTGACTTCAGTAATCCAAAACCATCCAGGTAAAACAAGTGTTTTGTCAGCCTTTAGATCAGTGAAGTTGATCATGATTCAAGTAATACTGCTGAGAGAAGTCTCTAAGAATTTCTTGCCTCTGACTCTACTGATGAATTCAGTGACAGTCACATGATAGCCTCTCCCTTTGACTTTTGATCTTAAACATTCTGAGTAGATATCCTACAGCCTTGACATTTAAAACAATCCCAAATAGACTTAAATTCTAACATCTCACCTCTCAGTTTTTCCTCCACCAACAAGGCCCTGCAGAAGTTCATCAAAATTTACCTTTTTCAACTGACCACTTGTATTATCTTCCTAAGGTTGCTGTAACAAATGACCACAAACTCAGTAGCTTAAAGCAACTTGAATTAATTCTACAGGTTTGTAGGGCAGAAGTCTGACAGGGGTCTCACCAGGCCAGAATCAAGGGTTTACGTCAACTGAACTACATTCCCTTCTGGAAGCTCTAGAGCAGAATCCTTTGATTTTTAATTTATTCCTTCCCCCCCACCCTGTTTATTTTCTTGAAAACTGTTTCTAGAAGCAGCCCACATTCCTTCATTAAGGCACTCCTCTGTCTTCAAATCCAGCAACATTGCACCTCTCCATTCTCTCATAGGCACCTCTCCTTCTGACTCTGCCTCTACCTTCCTGTTCCTCCTCTTAAAGACCCTTGTGATTACATTGGACCTATCTGGATAATCCAGGATAATGTCCCTGTTTTAAGGCCAGCTGTTTGACCACCTTAATTTCCCTTTGCCATACAACCTAACATATTCATGGGTATTAAGGATTAGGATGTGGACATCTTTGGGAAGTCATAATCTATATACCATAAAAACCCACACCCCAAGTTATTCGGCAGCTATTGGCTTTCAATCCTCACTTTCTAATCATTACACAGAAGCCAGAAATCTAGTGCCTTTAACTAATTCTAATTAGAAATTGTCAACCCTGACTGCACAGCGGAATCGCCTGGGATCTTTGAAAAATAGCGATTCCCCAACCCCATCTCCAGAAAACCTCAACGAAGTGGTCTTGGCAGAATCAGTATTATCAGGAGGAGGCTGTACTAGAAAACTCAGGCATCTGTATTTTTTTAAAGTTTCGGTAGATAATTCTCTGTGTAGTCACAGTTGGGAACCACTGCTGATACTAGATAAGCCAGCATTCCCTCGTCACTCAGATATAAAATGTGGCACACATTTTGATTTATCAATTTCTCCTACCCCTTGGGACCTAGCAGTTCCTGAGTCCTCAACCTTGAAAAGGCCTCCATTAAATTCCTTCCTTCAGGTCCTGATTGAGAGCTACCATTATAATTCAAGTATCTGCACTTGCGCCTAAAATCCATCCTTCTTCGTGATCACCCCCTTTGTTCTAGCCAACAGAACAATGCTTTCCTCTACTCCTTTCTTTTGACTTTCTGGGTGACTCTCTTTTCATCTCATTAAGACCCCTATCTGAGATCTCTTTATTTTTCAATTAATTAGCCTGAATAGATTTCGTAGAATAGTTGATATGGACTAAATAGTGTCTCTCAAAATGCATATGTCAAAGCCATAACCCCCAATGTCATGGCATTAGGATGTGGGACTTTTGGGAGGCAATTAGGTTTAGGTGAGGTCATAAGGGTAGAGGCCCCAGGAGAGGAGTGGTCTCCTTATAAGAAGAGTAAGAACTCTTGTGAGCACTCATACACTCTCCCCCCACCCTCTGCCTCCAACATAAGAGGATACAGCAAGAAGTGGTTGTCTGCAAGCCAGGAAAATGATTGTCACCAGGAACCAAATCAGACATCTTGGTCTTAGACTTCCTGGCCTCCAGAACTGGGAAAAACAACTGTCTGTTGTTTTACCTGCTTGCTTTATGGTATTTTGTTATAGCAGCCCAAGCACACTAATGAATGGTAGTCCTGGGAAAATGAAGACTACAGGTGTCATGTAATCCCATCCCCTTATTTTTCTGTGAAGGTAACAAAGCCCACAGAAGTTGAATATCCTGCTTGGGCTAATAGAGCTGCTTCAAAGCAGAGCCAGGGATAGAACTCAGCTCTTCATCATTCATTCCTTCAGCATTTCTGGATCATCAACTATGCTTAGGGCACTGTGCCTCACCCGTGCTATAAAAGGCAAGATCCCTACTCTCAGGGAGCTCATGGTTTAGTCACTGTCATACAAAGAAATGCACCTGGCATTGTACTAGCTCAGATGCAATATGGTGCCATGACTACAATCTGGATTCTCACCCGTGCTATGGTAGATTAAACAAGGCTGCAAATTCTTTGGCACTCCTCTCCATGGCAGGCCAGGTCTATGCTCCTGTCTTCTAATCTAGCAGAACTCTATAACTTCCTGAGCAATGACGTGCAGCAGAGACACCATGACAGTTTCTGGGACCAAACCTTAAGAGATTGGCAGCTTCCACTTCTTGTCTCCTGGAATACATACTCCTGGAACATAACCAATATGCTCTAAGGAAGCCCAAGCAGTGACATGGAGAGGCCCACACGGAGAACGACTAAGTGTGCTGGCTAACAGCCCAGTTGCCTACCATGTGGGTGAGCTATCTTGAAACAGATTATCTAGTCCCAGACAAGCCACCCAAGCTGATGTCATACAGAACAGAGTTCAGCTTTCTCTGTTGAGTCCTGCCTCAATTCCTGACCCACAAAGCTGTGGAATATAATAAAACAACTGTGATTATAAGCCATTACATTTCTGGGTAACCTCAGGCTTCATAACTTTAGGTAAGGTATCCTCTCTAAGCTTCAGTGTCTTCCCCTACAAAATAGGAATGATCCTCCCTCTTAGGATTGCTGTGAAAGTTAAATGCAATCATACATGCAAAGGGCCCCCTTCCTGGTCCGTAGATGCCATTACAGTCGTCATAAAGGATCTGTCACAGAGAGAAGAAACTTAATGAAGAAGTTAGAAGTGGAGAGGAAGGTATCAGGAAGAGAAACCAACAAGAGGGAAATCTCTGGGTCAATTGCAGACAGATCAATAGTCACTAAAAATGTGAACTTGCTTTATTACAGATACATAATA